TGCTGGGGCGGGGGCGGCTGCTGCTGCTGCATGTGGGGGGGATAACCCTGCGGAGGTCCCCCAGGGGGGGGCGGAGGCCCGCCCATGGGCCCTTGCGCGCCTGGCGGATAATACCCCTGCCAATGCGGGGGGTAATAGTTCGGGGGAGGGGGACCGGGCGGGGGACCATATCCCCCTCCGCCGTGGGGCGGAGGACCCCCCATCATCCCCCCCTGCGGGGGAGGCGGAGCCCCCCACATGCCCGAAGGGGGCGGAGGGGGGTAATGCGGGTGCTGGGGACCCGGGCCATAGGCGTTCGGGGGGGGAGGTCCGGGGTAAGGTGGGGGTTGCTGATATTGGGGTGGCGGGGGCTGCTGCGGTTGGGGCGGGGGGGAGGCTTGGGGTGGCGCGGGCGGCGGGGGTTGCGCAGGGGGGCCCTGTGGCGGGGGAAGCGTAAGAGGGGTGTGGGGGGGGGGAGGGGGGGGGGGGGGGGGGGGGGTGCAGGGGGAAGGCATAGGAGATGGGAGGGGCGAAATTGCGAATCACAAGTTATAACGGGGATCACATGCTCAGCTTGAGCACTAATAAACTTGATAAATAAGAGAACACAAATCGAGATAACGCTAAAATCACAATCAGTGAACTTAGCAAATCTGACTTTCAGAAGGCGGATACGACAAAGATGGATAGTAAAGCCCCAAGCGATCAAAACAGAAGAGAGAGTGCAAGCGACAGGCGAGAGAGGAGAGGATGGGGAGGGAGGAGAGGGATGGACGGGAGGGGAGGGATGGGAGGGATGGGAGGGAGCGGAGGGGTAGTAGGGGGGGAGATGGGGGGAAGGGCGGGACTAGTGGGGGGAAACGATTGGGGTGAGGGGGAAAAGGGCGGGTTAGCTGGAGGGAAGGACATAGCAAATAGCTTGTGAGTGGAACGAGTGGGTGAGCAGAGAGAAAGGTTTGAATCGTAAGAATTTGAAGCTGGTAACAGCACAGAGATTAGACGCGCAGGCGGCGAGTCTACCTGTTGCTGACGTGGCAGGGACTTGACTTGAAGGTCCTGAAACAGGTGGCAGGAGCGAGGGAACAAAGGAAAGACATTCCAATACATTGAAAGCGGTAAGAGGCGGGCAGAAGCTGCAAAAATCAGATCGGACAACGAACAGGCGGAAAAAGGAAACCCAACTTTTGAATGGAAGCCAACAATTGATGTGTCCCACAAGCCGGGCATTCAGCTAACAATAGCTAAACGGAAGTTTGCGACAGTACGGACAAACAGAGAAGATGCTCGGTAAGTAAAAAGCGCGACACAATATTCCTAAGTTGGTATCTGTTACTAGAAACGGCAGTCACTACGCGAAAGGCAGCTCTTAAGTTGACACGCTTACGCCAACAAGGTTCAGGTGTTTTCGTCAAAACTTGAACGCGAAAAATAAAATTAGCTAAAAGAAAATAACACACGCAATCCAGCAGATCTAAATGGTAGCTCTCGCGGCACTCAAAATGGGCGAAATGGGAACACAACGAGCGAAATAGCAAAAAAAGAGTCAGTTCTGCGAAATATGTGCATCCGTAACCTGGTAACCAGACGCACCTTGATATCGGTTCCGCGAAAGATAATAAAGTCGTAGACCTTGTCACTCGGCGGGATTTGCGGGCCGTCCTTCTTTCGCCCCTCCGTTCCGAAGGAGCGCACTGGACATTGGAGAATGGGAAACGACGAACAATTATTACGTAAGGCACGGATTTGAATCCTAACAAGCATTAGAATAACGCGTTTCGAAGAAGCGCATAAGACATTAGACGATGGGTCAACGACCACTGACCAAACTGGTTACGATAGGCATTCAAGATCCTTCGATTGCTATGGATTGAGAAAACAGCGGAGAAGAAGAGAGAGCAGTGAACAAGTATCAACGCGGGACGAACAAGTGACGGCAAAAAATAATATTGATCCGCGATTTAAGAACCACGAACGAGCTGCAGAGCAAGCGTGTGTTGGAAACGTCACAAGATGTTAATCAAGGAACGCGACGCGAGGTGTGCTGGGACCGCTACAAGAAGAAGAAAAAAAACAAGACAACGAAAACTCTTGCGATACCCATGAAGATAATAACAGCAACAGGAACAAAAACAAACCAATCAACGGGACAATTTGACATGTCGACCATCTAGGGGACATGGCGGCGAAGGGTGAAGGAAGTAGGGAAGAAGGAAATACGAGGAACGAAATACGAGCGGAGATAAGGGAGTTGGTAAATAGAGAGGAAACAATGGAAGAGAGGGAGAGAAACTGTGTAAAAAGAATACCGTTTTGCAAGGCGATGTTGGCTTGTTGCGTATCGACGGTGTACAGCACACCCTCATAACGGATCTCGCTCTTAGACGTCAAACTGATCAAACACCCGATGTACGAATCAGCTCCCCCTCCTCCGCCTCCGCCTCCTCCTCCTGCGGGAGCCGCTGCTGCGCCTCCGCTTGCGCTCCCCGCGCCTGGGGGAGCTCCTCCGCCTCCCCCTCCGCTTGCGCCAGGCGGTGCTGCGGCTGCGGCGCCAGCGCCTGCTGCGCCTTCCTCTCCGCCCATGCTAATGCTCTAAGCAACTATCCAGAGTTGCGATAGCCAACTAACATGCAACTACTAATCGCAACTGCTGCAACAATCTATACCTAAAACCAGGTACTGAAATCTCCCTGACCTAAAACACGAGATCCGTGGAAAACCAGATCCCGATCGGGAAAATGCGAAAACAAAAAATCACGAGAGATATTAGTCTGCCTAGAACCTAGAGGAGGCAGAGACCACAAAAGCTGATGCGAACACGACGCTAAGCTTCCTAAATTAGGTCATCCATGGCTGATTTGCCAGGGAAACCAGAGCAAGCAAGCAGCAACAAGCAATACCTAATTTAGGAAGCTAGGAAGCCGGCGGAGAAAAAGTAATGAAGGAAGAAGGTTTGTATGTTAATGGATAAGGCGTGCCACGTTACTAATCGGCTTCGCAAGCTCAGTTTCGCGAAAGTTGCTTCTAAAGAGGACTAGGTGTTTGTGAACGTTAGAATTGTTGGTCTCAATCGCAGTACACGTGAATCTCAACGTTAGAAAAAAATATACAATTGTGAAGTAAGCATTAAAAGTATCTCCCCGATATGTGCTACATAAATGATGAAGGTGTAATGAATAAGAAACCATGCTCTTCCAGTATGCACATGAATCCAATGAGAACATTGGATCATGTCACTGTATGGGGTTAAAGGCACTACACATTACGCCTCGAATCAACGATTTGGTACCTTCCTTTCGGTACTTGTTCTACCCTAACATGCCCTCTACTTCGTCACATCACATCTCTTTCTGATGGATCACAAGCCATCTGTGTTCAATGTGAGTGATTTGGGGTCAAGAAGATACCGGATCGACCAATCAAATGGCGCCACCTCGACACATTGTGCGAATGTGGGATTGCCTAGAGCAATCCGTTTTGCCAGTGCCAACCGTGGCGCAGGGGAGAGCTGGTGTAACACCCAGTCAAGCAAGGATGGAAAAGAATCAGCAAAATCCGGGCAGTACCTGTGGGAGGAATTCAGAGGCAGGGCAGGAAAAAAGAAGGGGTGTGCAAGGAACACCGTATGGCAATCACACGGCAACAGAGGATTTTAGCAAATGCTTCGTTGCAAGCCTTGAGAAGAGCATACCACAAAGGCCTACATCACAGGCACTCAGAAACTTTATTTCTTCCTTCCGTTCTTTCTTTCTTTATTCCTTTCTTTTTTTCTTTGCTTCTTTCTCTTGTATTATTTTTCTTTTATGTCACGCACCAGTCGAGTATTTTGGGGAGAACAAGGCGGTTGTCCCGACTGAGCCCCACTGCCAGCTCAAGGAAGCCCTCCCTTGCCTCCTCCAGCTCTGCTCTCACCGTGCGCGGTGAGAATACTTTTAGCTAAGGGGGGGGGAAGGGGGGGCCGCAGAGAAAGGCAAAGGGGAAGGGGAGCAAGGCGGTAGTCTCGACTGAGTCCCACTGTCAGCTCAAGGACGCCCTCTCTTGCCTCCTCCAACTCTGCTCTCACTGTCTGTGGTGAGAATAATTTTAGCTGGGGGGGGAGAAAGAGGAGGGGAAGGGGAAGGGAGAGACAGCATGGAAAGACACGAAAAACGCCCTCCCTTGCATCCTCCAGCTCTGCTCTTACTGTGCGTGGTGAGAAGACACGAAGCTGAGGGGGGAGATAAAGGAGGGGAAGGGGAAGGAGAGTAAACTGTGAGCTCCTCTTGCGTCCTCCAGCTCTGCCCTGACGGTGCGCGGGGAGAAGATGAGGGAAAGGGAAAGCAGGAGAGGATGAGGGGAGAAGACTCTCAGCTGAGGGGGAGGGGGAGGGGGAGGGGGAGGGGGAGGGGGAGGGGGAGGGGGAGGGGGAGGGGAGGGAGAGGGGGAGGGGGAGGGGGAGGGGGAGGGGGAGGGGGAGGGGGAGGGGGAGGGGGAGGGAGAGGGAAAGCAGGAGAGGATGAGGGAATGCCAAGTTGAAAGAACGGCGACCTCTCTCGTGTCTCCTCCAGCTCTGCCTTGACCGTGCGCGGGGAGAAGACTTCTAGTTGTGGGGGAGAAAGAGGAGGGGAAGGGAAAAGGAGAGAAAACATGGAAAGGCAAGTAAGCAGAAGCCCCCCCTTGCCTCTTCCAGCTCTGCTCTCACTGCGCGTGGTGAGAAGAGACGTAGCTGAGGGACGGGGGAAGGGGAAGGGGGAGAGGAAGGGGGTGTGGGGGAAGGGGAAGGGGGAGAGGAAGGGGGTGTGGGGAAGGGGAAGGGGGAGAGGAAGGGGTGTGGGGGAAGGGAGGGAAGGGGGTGTGGGGGAAGGGGAAGGGGGAGAGGAAGGGGGTGTGGGGGAAGGGAGGGAGAACATGGAAAGGCAGGTTGACAGATATCCCTCAGTTGCTTAATCCGGCACTGCTCTTACCGTGCGAGGGGAGAAGCCACGCAGTTGGGGGAGGGGGAAGGGGAAGGAAAATGGGGAGGGGAAAGGGAAGGAGAGTAGAAAATGGTTGGGGAAGTTGGGGACCATGGTTGACTGACCATGGTTGACTGACCAAGAGGAGGCCAACCAAGAGGAGGCCAACCAAGAGGAGGCCAACCAAGAGGAGGCCAACCAAGAGGAGGCCAACCAAGAGGAGGCCAACCAAGAGGAGGCCAACCAAGAGGAGGCCAACCAAGAGGAGGCCAACCAAGAGGAGGCCAACCAAGAGGAGGCCAGCCAAGAGGAGGCCAACCAAGAGGAGGCCAACCAAGAGGAGGCCAACCAAGAGGAGGCCAACCAAGAGGAGGCCAGCCAAGAGGAGGCCAACCAAGAGGAGGCCAACCAAGAGGAGGCCAACCAAGAGGAGGCCAACCAAGAGGAGGCCAACCAAGAGGAGGCCAACCAAGAGGAGGCCAACCAAGAGGAGGCCAACCAAGAGGAGGCCAACCAAGAGGAGGCCAACCAAGAGGAGGCCAACCAAGAGGAGGCCAACCAAGAGGAGGCCAACCAAGAGGAGGCCAACCAAGAGGAGGCCAACCAAGAGGAGGCCAGCCAAGAGGAGGCCAACCAAGAGGAGGCCAACCAAGAGGAGGCCAACCAAGAGGAGGCCAACCAAGAGGAGGCCAACCAAGAGGAGGCCAACCAAGAGGAGGCCAACCAAGAGGAGGCCAACCAAGAGGAGGCCAACCAAGAGGAGGCCAACCAAGAGGAGGCCAACCAAGAGGAGGCCAACCAAGAGGAGGCCAACCAAGAGGAGGCCAACCAAGAGGAGGCCAACCAAGAGGAGGCCAACCAAGAGGAGGCCAGCCAAGAGGAGGCCAACCAAGAGGAGGCCAACCAAGAGGAGGCCAACCAAGAGGAGGCCAACCAAGAGGAGGCCAACCAAGAGGAGGCCAACCAAGAGGAGGCCAACCAAGAGGAGGCCAACCAAGAGGAGGCCAACCAAGAGGAGGCCAACCAAGAGGAGGCCAACCAAGAGGAGGCCAACCAAGAGGAGGCCAACCAAGAGGAGGGCAACCAAGAGGAGGGCAACCAAGAGGAGGGCAACCAAGAGGAGGGCAACCAAGAGGAGGGCAACCAAGAGGAGGGCAACCAAGAGGAGGGCAACCAAGAGGAGGGCAACCAAGAGGAGGGCAACCAAGAGGAGGGCGGAGTAGGAGCACTCACGAGGGGAGCAGAGAAGGTGCCAGTGCAGAGAGCGAAGGAGACGTTGGGGTGGGGCGACTGCAGGGCCCAGGAGGAACGGTGGTCGCTTGGAGGGAAGGGGCGGACCTTAAGTGCCGTGGCCTGATGGGTTGGAGTGGGGAGGGAGTATGGAGAAAAGGGAATACAGTAAATGAATGGATATCTCGTACAGGCGTCTTTGGAAGTTTATTGACCAGAATCTTGGAAGAAGAAGGATGGAGGAATGTACGGTGGGGAGATAAGTAAAGGGAGAAGCGGTAGTAGGAGGTAGGAGGTAGAGGCGGTAGGAGTGAGGAGGGAATGAGTGAAAAGCAAGGAGGTGGAGACAAGGTACCGATGAAGAGCGATGCTGGGGAAGCAGTAGCATAGAGGAGCGGAAGGAGGGAGGGAAGAGGCTGCCCCGAGGATGGGAAAGAAAGGTGAAGAGGAGCGGTACCAGGGAGGAGCGGAAGGAGGTTGCCCGGAGGATGGAGAATTCGATTTCAAAGGCGTTGATGGCCGAGCCCCGAATGGTGAACGTGGCCTGGAAAGGGGGGGAACGGATTGGGGTGGCAGGGAGGTATGAGGGGGGAGAGGAGAAGGGAGAGATGGAGAGAGTTAAACAGAGAATCATTTTCAAAGGGGATGATGTCCGTGCCCCGAATGGTGAACGTGGCCTGGAGGGGGGGAGGGATTGGGTTGAGGAGAGGATGACACGAGGAAGAGGGAGTGAGGCGAGAAAGAGGGAGAGAGGTGAGGGAGAGAGGGGGTGGAGAGAGGGGAGAGAGAGAGGGGAGGGAGAGATGAAGAGTGGTTGTGAAGGGCCCGAGAACCTGACATCAACGTGTTAAATGTAACATCAGTTCTTGAGTTGATTCAAAGAAAGGCATCGATGTTGATTCAAAGAAAGGCATCGATGTGTCACATGTAGCATCAATTTTCCTCATTCTCGGAACGTGATGCACCTTGGTATCAGCACTTTGGTACTGGCATGGCACTTAGTGGGAAAGGTGACATTTAGTGGGAACGGTGACAATTAAATGTGTAAGAACGGTGGCACTTTGTAAGTAACGATGACACTTAGTGAGTAAAAACTGTGTGCCACTTAGTAAGAACGGTGACAATTAGTGGGAACAGTGACACTTAGTGGGAACGGTGACACTTAGTGGGAATGGTGACACTTAGATGGAACAGTGACACTTAGGGCGTGTAACTTTTTCCCGAACCCGTCCAATGTCCATACGCAGCTTCCAAACCGTCCGGTTTGGTTCCGGACAGTCATTTGGGAGTCACGTCAGGACGACAGGGCGTCCGGACCACACTTGTGGAACTTTTTTTAGGTTTTGAGTTTCGAAACCCAAGCGCAACTTTTTTTAGGTTTTGAATTTCGAAACCCAAGCTCAGCGTAACACTCGTTACAACCATCCAATTTGTGCTTCGCGCGCCAATGACAGCGCAGCAAGAACGGACGGTTCTATTGCCATACGGACGGTGTCATCTCGGTATTCCGAACCGTTTGTGTCAGAAAAGTGGCAGATACCATCTGTACGAATGCGACGTCGCATGGGGCCTTGCGAAGTCATTTGCGAAACCCGGCGAGAGGTGTAACCTTTTGAGACGTTTTTTTAGTCGCCTCAAAACGCGGCGAGAGGTGTAACCTTTTGAGACGTGTTTTGAGTCGACTCAAAACCCGGCGAGAGGTGTAACCTTTTGAGACGTGTTTTGAGTCGACTCAAAACCCGGCGAGAGGTGTAACCTTTTGAGACGTCTCAAAACGATTTTTTAGGCGCCTCAAAACCCGATTTTTGAGGCGCCTCAAAACCCGGCTAGAGGTGTAAGCCTACCATCATCCGGACGGGCCACTGTCCAGACAGTTGGTTCTGGAAAAAGTTACGCGCCCTTAGTTGGAACAGTTACACTTAGTTGGAAAAGTGACACTTAGCAAGTAAGGACGGTGGCAAACCTGATTTAGCAGTGCGATGCGCTTGGCATGTGTTGTGGGGTATCCGTCCACTAGGAATGTCTGAACGGGAGAAGAGGGGGGGAGAGAGGGGTTGACATGGGTAGTGGAAGGAGGAGTACAGAGGGATACGTGGGTGATTTGATTGAGCAGTGCGATGCGCCTGGCATGCGTTGTGGTGTATCCGTCCACCAGGAATGTCTGCGCGGGGTTGGAAAGGGGGGGAGAGGAGAGGGAGAGGAAGGGGCTGACCAATATAAACAGTGGACGGGAGGGGGGGAAACGGGACATTGAAGAGGGCATTATGTGGGGTAACCTCTATGACTAGCCTACGGAAATCTCACGACTAGACTCACATGCAGCAGCAGCCGACTCACATGCAGCAGCAGCCGACTCACATGCAGCAGCAGCCGACTCACATGCAGCAGCAGCCGACTCACATGCAGCAGCAGCCGACTCACATGCAGCAGCAGCCGACTCACATGCAGCAGCAGCCGACTCACATGCAGCAGCAGTGCGTTGTGCAGGTTGATCCAGAAGGCCAGGCGCTCGTCCTCTGAGAGCAGTGCGGGGCTCACATCGTCCAGCTGCTCCGCTAGCATTCTGATGCAGGATTCAGGCGGAGGCACAGCAGAGAGGGAGAGAGCAGAGAGAGGGAGGGGGCTCAAAGAACATTCAACGAGAGGCATGTGAATGGCAGTGGTACCACGACAGCAGCGCCGGGCTCACATTGTCCGGATGCTCCGCTAGCATTCTGGCAGGGAGAGGAGGGAGAGGAAAGAGCGAAGGGGGAGCGGGCAGAGGGGGTCCAAGAGAGGGCAGCCCCTCTTGGTGCCACTGTCAGTGTCACCTCGACAGCAAGACTCGCATCATCCAGCTGCTCCGCTAGCATTCTGCTGCATGGATTGAACGAGGGATAAAAAAGGATTCACAGGGAACGCAGGAGATGGTTCAGAGATGGTTTAAAAAGCGGTTCAAAGCTGGTTTAAAAAAAGTTGAAAGAGCAGCACTGGAAGCACCCACCAGGGAGGCACAGCAGTGACCTGGGAGGGATGCACCCTCAGGTACCTTGGTCCTTACCCGTATCTGCACAGCAGTGACCTCCATGACAGACAGCATACTACTCACCGGTAGCGGCAGAGAAGAAACACGTCAGCACTGGTGAAGGAATCAGGAGGAGGCACAGCAGTGACCTCCATGGCGCTGCTGTACGCCCCCCCCACCACCGGCAGGGAAGACCCTGCAGAGAGGTGCACCCTCCTCTATGAACGACACTCTGGCCCTCTCTCACCTGTAGCGGCAGAGAAGAAACACATCCGCGGAGGTGAAGGATTCGGGCGGAGGCACAGCAGTGACCTCCATGGCGCTGCTGTACGCCCCCCCCACCACCGGCAAGCTCGGATGCCCCTCCAACGCCCCGTATGGATCCACAAACCCATCCGGCCTCTGCTGGTTACCCTCAAAAGCCCCCTCCGGTTGTCTATCCCCTGCAAACCCTGCTTCTGTAACGCCTGCCGCAGCAGCTGCTGCGGCTGCTGCTCCTGCCATGCCAATGTCTGCAGCGCCAACAGCAGCAGCAGAAAAACCCGCCTCAGGTGCACCGGGCACGTTCCCCTCTTCCGTCCCCTCCCACCCTCGCTCGTCTGCTGCCCCTCCTGCCCCCTGCTTGCCTCCGGGAAACGCCGACCGCAGCCACTGGGGCGCTTTGGCTGTAGCAGACTTGGCTGTAGCAGAGGCTAGAGCTAGGCCCCTCCGGGACTTAGAGCCTGCGTCTGATGCGAAGAGAGAGGGCTTTTTGGAGAGGGAGGGAGTGATGGAGGGAGTGAGGGAGGGAGTGAGAGGCGGGAAGGAGGGAGTGAGAGGTGGGAACGAGGGAGTGGCGGGAGGAAGTGCGGCTGTGTTGCTGAATTCTGGATCATCCTGGGTTTTAAGGGGGCTTAGAGTATCAGTGCCGGCACTGTTATCATCACCATCACCAGATCTCTCGCCTTTACCTCCTCTCTCTCCTCCCTCCTTCGCCTCACTCAACCCTCCTTTCCCACTTGCCGCCTCCTCCTCCCCTCCTGCCCGCTCCTGCTCCGACACACCACGGGCCTCGTCTGACGTGGCACGGGCCGAATCTGACGTGGCATCGGCTGTATTCGACGTGGCACGGGCCTGGTCTGACGCGAGCAGGAGGGCAACGGCACGTTTCTGCCCCTCCCCCAGCCCCCACACGGCCGGGTGTGCATGGTGCAGGTAGATAGTTGCAATGGATTTCAGCATCTCCTCTGAGAGTGCACACGGGCGGGAGCGGTAGTCCTCTAGCTCTAGAGAGAGAGGGAAAGAGTCTGTGGCGTGGAGAGAGGAGAGGCGAGAGGAGGAGGAGGTGCTTTTGATGGTCTTTTGGAGGTGGTTTATGGACTTGGCCAGGGATTTCCGGAAGGATTTGCGGGTGGAGGACTCTGCAGCGTGGGAGGAGGAGGTTTGGGTGGTGGATGGAGGCGGGGGAGCAAAGGCCACGTGGGCATTTGCACTGGCACCGGTGCCACTGGTGCTGTTCCTTGTGATGCTGCTTGTGCCGCTGGTACTGCCAGTGCTGCTGCCAGTGGTGCTGCTGGTGCATAACTTTTCGCCAGTTCTGGTTACCAGTTCTGTTGCAGGGGCTTCAGCAGTGGAGACGGGTGGTATGCGCGGCCTTGGCTCAGGTGACGTCTCAGGTGATATTTCAGGTGTTACCTGAGGTGATACCCCGGGCATAACAGGCTCATGCACACCAGGTGCAGATTGAAGGGGTACAGGTGCGGTTGAAAGGGGTGCAGATGCACCTTCGTCTTTTTCCTCACCTGCCCGATCTGCTCCTTCATCTGCCCGTAAACAAGTAGTTCCCATGGCAATGGGGGCTATCAGCCCCGAACCAGACCCCACACCGAACTCCGAAGCTAAGCCTGCCACCTTCTCCTTTACCGAGCCTACGCTCTTCGTCCTCCTTGGGCTTTGCAGATCAGGCTCGAAAACAGGCTCGGCAGCAGGTCCGGAAAGGCTTGGCAAATCCACGCCAGACGACGAACGCAATCCTGCCATGTCAGCAGATGCCCACTGCTCCGGCGAGTCGATCTTCGCAAACACATTGCCGCTGGGCGCCGGCGCACGGCTGGCAGGTTCGGCAGCTGCCGAGGCTGCTCCCGAGCCTGCCGCCAAACCAAGCGGAGGCTTGGGGTGCTGCTGAGAACGCGGCGGTGCTGAAACTGCTGCTGCAGCACCTGCTGTGACAATCGCAGTGCTACACACACCATCACTTCCCGCCATCCCACTCCCAGAGGTTCCTCCAAGCAGGTTGAAATCGAATCCAGACCCACCACCACTGCCGCTGCCACCACCGCTGCCGCTGCCGCCGCCGCTACTAGCCTTCCCTTCCTTGCCACCTTTCCTGGAAAATCCTCGGCTCTTCTTCTCCTTCCCTTCCTTGCTCTTCTTCCCCTGCTCCTTCTTTCCTTTGCTTGCAAGTTCTGCCTCTGTTGCAGAAATCAGGGATTCTAGCATTGCGGATAGATACTGCTGCTGCTGCTGCTGCTGCAGAGTGCTCGTATTAGAAAACTCCACCTCCTCCATTACCTCTCCAGCACGACCACCCGCTTCCCATCCTACCCTTCCCTCACTCTCTCCTTCAACGAAAGCTTCTATATCCACCTCCCCTTCCCCGTCCCCCTCTCCTTTCCCTTCCTCTTTCCCCTCACCCACCATCTCATCTTGAGCCGACCCAAAGATACCTTCCTCCTGCCCCCGCAGGTGTACACTCCCCCCTTCCCCCTCATCGCATTCCCCATCCTCCTCCCGAATCTCCTCCTGATTTTCACCCCCTGTCTTTGCCCATCCGTCCTCTCCATCCGCCTGCCACCCATCCCGTGCCGCTCCCTCCCCTACCCTCCCTTCCAGCCCCCCCAAGACCATCTCGGAGAACGATCCAACGGCCAGGAACTTCCGGTGGGCGGCGGCAGATTGAGAATCCCCTGCAAGATCTGCTGCGTTTTCATCTGCAGGGCTTGTGCTTCCTTCCCCCCCTGTATAGTCATCGTCTATTACAAGCACATTAGGCTGTTCCGCCCTGCAGCTTGCTTCCTGCTCCTGTAGGGCGAATCCCGTCAAGCCAAAGCCAGCAGAGGCGGCCGAATCAGTAGCGGCAGGACCAGAACCAGGTGCCCTGTCCTCCTTGCTTTCATTGCTTTCATTTCCTTCACCAAGAAACGGCCCTCTCTGCTCCCCTTCCCTCGCTTCTCCATCCTCCATTCTAAAACTCACCGAACCTCCCTGCACTCCCCAACCAAAAACATTCTCCGAACCGTCAGACAGGCCGGACCTGGCTCGGTCATTGAACAAGCCATCCCGAGCCTCATCACCAGGTTCGGAATTGTTCCGAACGAATCCGGCGGCAACACCACCAGGCTCGGAATTGTTCCGAGCGTAACCGGCATGTATACCTGGGGCATGCCGGACCGCAAACGACAGCATCTTCCCCAGGGGGGAGCGAGGGCGGGAGGAGGAAGAGGAGGAGGAAGGGGAGTAGGAGTGAGTGGTTGGGCTGTACGAATGGTGTCTCTCGGGGGTTTTCGCACGGCGGAAGGAGAGAGAGGGGCGCATGCGCTCTGGGCTCTTGCTGCTTGCAAGCAGCATGGAAGGCACGAGGGACGTCGGAGCAAGGGTGATACTCTGACCTGGGTCAGAAGAACCAGAACCCATTGATCCATCATGGTACTTTGATTCCCCTGGCCGATCGAAACCCTCGAAGCCCCTTGAACCCTCACGCATGGAGCGGGACCTGAGCGCAACAGCAGCAGCAGCAGCAGCTGCGTCGCCGCCACTCCTTTGCCTCGGAGTGACCCCCTCGGGTCCCTCTTTCCAGTTCAATTCACGCCCATGCGCTCGCACATGGTCGGTGCTGGGAGGAGCGTGAGTGTTAGCAGCAGGTGCGGCACCACGATGGATTGCAGAGGTGCTGCGATTGAACCGAGTGAACACTGCAGGGGAGCATGCGCCATGTGCCATGCTCTCCATCTCTTCCTCCTCCTCCTCTTCCTCACCCTCTCCCCGCTCTTCCTCCCCTTGCTCACCCTCGTCCCCCTCCTCTCCCCCCTCCCCCTCCTCTCCCTCCTCCCCTTCCTCTCCCTCCTCCTTGTTTCGGTCCTCTCCCTCCTCCCCTTGTGAAACGGAATCGTCTCCCCCTCGCCTTCCCGCCCTTCTCTCCTGCCTTCCTTCCCCTCCCACCTGTCCCTTCCCTCCCTTCCCCCCTTCCCCTCCCTCCCTTCCCTTGCCCCCAGCAGCTCCAAGCTTCAAATCCAATGCTGCAAGTCCAGGCACCACAACAGAGCTGCCCAAATCCTTTCCTGTATTGGCTTGCACAAGAGACTCACTCCCACTCGCACCACTGGAAAGCTCAGCAGCAGCGAAGGGAGGCAGGTCGGGAAGTCCTGGCACAGGAACATCCGCGTTATTGAGGTCCTGTCTATTGTCGGATGCGCGGCGCGCCAAGGAACGCTTGAGGGTCGGCTGAGTGGCAGCCCTTATAGCTTGAGGCGGCAAGGAATCATCCTCTTCCTCAGCTAACTCTCCCTCTCTTCCCTCTCTTCCCTCTCTTCCCTCTCCTCTTCTCATCTCCCCTTCCTTGCCATCTTCTGCCTCTCCCCTACCAGGGTAGCTTGGAACCTTTCGCCTGCTGTGAGTGCTGCTGCTGCTGCTATCTCGGTCCGACTGCAAGGGTACATCCGAAACACGCCGCCCACGCACCATCTTACCGCCGCTCTTCGCCACTGCGCCATCAGCCAGGCTCCTAAGGTCTGCTTCAGTGGACGATAAATACCGCCCCAGGTTCCTGAACGGAGACATGCCCCGGCTCAGAGGCTTGGCGTTGGTGGTAACCAGGTTACCAGAACCAGCCGGATGACCACTGGTGTTACCAGCCCCACCAGCAACAGCACCAATAGCACCACCAGCACCGGCACCAGCACTATACCCAAGTCCGCTCACAGAATCAGCATCACCACCGCTGCCGGTCCTACGGTGTGCTCCTGGAATCCCACCCCAGGCTGAGCCCCCTCCCTCTCCCCCTCTCGGCGACCCCAACCCCCCACCAGGGAAATACCCCTCTTCCCCGTCTCCTGCCTCATCCCCCCCTCCGCCTCCCCCTCCTCCCCCTCCTGCGCCCGCGGCTCCCCCCCCTCCTCCTCCCCACGCCCCCACTCCTGCTGAGCTCACCTTTTTCTTCAGCTTATGTAGCACCTTCAGTCGACTCTTCCCCCCTCCCCCTCCTCCTCCTCCTCCCTTGCCTCCTCCGCCCACCGCATTGCCATCACTGCCTCCTGTGAGATGCCCCACCTCCTCTTCTTCTCCCCCCGTTCGACCCTGCCAGTCCAGGTTCCCCATGCTCTCCCCTCCCTCCTCCCACGACCCACTACCCCCTCTCCTCCGCCTGCCCCCCTCTCTCGTCCCCTTCGGATCAGTCACATCCTTTATAAGGTCCTTCAGCCGATGCACCTGGGTACTAGAGCTAAGAGTAGAATAGCTATGCCCGAGGATAGATACCCTAGAACCACCACCACCAGAAGGGCCAACAGAAGCAGAGTGCAAATCACCCCCTCCTACTCCTCCTCCTCCTCCTCTCCCTACCCCTCCCATTCCCCCTCCGCCCGCACTCCCAGCAGCAGCCGAAGCAGCGGCAAAGGCAGCAAAAGCAGCAGCAGAGGCGGCGCCAATGGCAGCAGTGGCAGCTGGGAGGACAGGGGGGCTGGTGTTGAGCGTGTGGATAAGGTCCTTTATGAGGGAGGCGAATCCGGGGGAGGTGGTATCTAGCGCAGGGTCACTCAGGATCTGGTCCAGAAACTCCTCCACCTGAGGGGGAGGGGGTGAGGGAGGAGGAAGGGGAAACGAGAGGGAGAGAGTGTTGCTGTATGTAAAACGATTCGGAATCAACTCATAACAAAGGCAGCAGTAGCAGCCGGGGGTGGGGAAAGTGGTATCCACTGCAGGGTTCATTCCAAAATTTGTCCAGAAACTCACCCACCTGGAAGGGAGAGGGAGGGAGGAATAAGCGAGAGGAAGAAAGGGTCAATAAGGTCAAACAGTAACTGGCTCCTCCATTCTCCTCTCCTCCCTGTGCTTTGCAAATTAGCTCAACCCTTCTGCCCCCCTCTGCCCCTCTCAGCCACTCTGCTCCCTCTGCCCCTCTTGGCCACTCTTTGACCCCCTCTGCTCCTCTGCCCTGTTCCTCTCCCCCTTCCCTTCTCCTCAAGGAGCACACCTTTTAATTCTCCTTCCGCTCGTTCTGAATCAGCTCCTTGAGCACCTCTCTATGAGCTGTCAGCTGCAACCTGTGCGTTCACCTCAGGTCCTTCTTTCCTGTTCAGCTTCCCTTGTCCCGTTTCCTCACGAAACGCACCTTTTCGTTCTCCTTCTTCTCGTACTGAATCAGCTCCTTGAGCACCTCCCTCTCTGCTGTCAGTCTGCTGCAAGCAACCTGTGCATTCACATGCTAGGCTTTGAGGTGCTTGCTAATCCACCAGACAGCTCACCTTTTCATTCTCCTTCCTCTCGTTCTGAATCAGCTCCTTGAGCACCTCCCTCTCTGCTGTCAGTCTGCTGCAAGCAACCTGTGCATTCACATGCTCGGCTTTGAGGTGCTTGCTAATCCACCAGACAGCTCACCTTTTCATTCTCCTTCCTCTCGTTCTGAATCAGCTCCTTGAGCACCTCCCGCTGTGCCGTCTGCTGCAACCTGTGCGCTCACATGACGGGTAACAGTCCAGAAAGAAAGAGAGAAACATGAACAGGAGAAAGACGTGGCTTACAGTTGCATCTGCGCAGTGTGAACGGCACGGACAGCACCAGGCGACCCCACGGCCCAGTGCACCTGCTCCAGGTTGACCCTCTATGCTCCCCCACCCTCCCCACCGCTACCTTCACTCCCCACCCCCCTTCTTCCATACTCACAGTTGCATCTGCGCAGTATGAACCGCGCGGACAGCTCCCGGAGACCCCACAGCCCAGTGCACCTGCTCCAGTGCCCGCTCCAGGTTGACCCTCTCTACAGTCAGTTCAAGCAGCACCAGCACCTGGCGCATCTGCCCACCCTTTTCCACACCCAGCCACATCCAAGGCAGACTTACAGTTGCATTTGTGCAGTGTGAACGGCACGCATGGCACCAGGCGACCCCACGGCCCAGTGCACCTGCTCCAATGCGCGCTCCAAGTTGACCCTCTCTACAGTAAGCTCTAACAGCAGCTTCCGTGTTTGCGCCACCTCGTCTCCCCAGTGGTGCACGTCTCTATGCAGCTGCCTTTCAGCCCGGTCCTGCTCCTCCTGTTGGCACATATGTGGGGTCGGGATAGGGAGATGGGATTGAGGTCACTTCTAAAAAAGCCTCCAGCAGCAGCAGCAGCAGCAGCAGCAGCAGCAGCTCCAGCAGCAGCTTGTGTGTGTGCCTGCGCCACTTCCTCCCCCCAGTGGTGCACGTCTCTATGAAGCTGCCTTTCAGCCCGGTCCTGCTCCTCCTGTTGGTGCCAATGGAAGAGAGTTTCAAGAGAGGGGTAGACGTTGGTTGTTCATGAACGAGGCTCCAGCAGCAGCGTGCGTGTGTGCGCCACCTCGTCCCCCCAGTGGTGCACATTCCTGTGCTGTGCAGAAGTCGCTTTGCAAGATCCTGCTCCTCTGGTTGGCATTAGGTAGCTCAGGAGAAAGACTGGGAGACTGCAATTTGTTGACGCTTCCATCATCACTTATCATCCGGTCCGGCCTAGTTCTTCCCTGCCTTGGTTTCTACCTGCCCTGGTTTTCACCTATCCCAGTTCTCCCCTGCCCCATTGCTCACCTGCACGGGCAGTGTGGGCGTGTCAGCTCCTGCTACCGCAATGAGCTCCACCACTTTCTCCTGCCTCGATTTGCACCTTCCCTGGCTCTCCCCTGCCCCAGCCTTCCCTTAACTTAGTTCTCACCTGCACGGGCAGCGTGGGCGTGTCATACCCTGCTACCGCAATGAGCTCGACCAGCTTCTCCTGCCTCAGTTTGAACCTTCCCTAGCTCTCCCCTCCCCTGGCCCAGCTTTTCCGTGACTTAGTTCTCACCTGCACGGGCAGCGTGGGCATGTCAGCCCCTGCCACGGCAATCAGCTCCACCAGTTTCTCCTGCCTCGCCAGCTCCCTCTCTACCTCCTCCTCCAGCCGCAACACCTGCAAGGCGGGCACACAGGGGGGCCATAAGGTGCAAGGTGCATGACGTAGGCGTCTCAAGAAACGAGCTTTCTCTCCTCCTCCTCCTCCTCCACGACGTGAAATTAGGGCTGTTACTGGAGGAGATAGTCGCGCAAATAGACAGCGGCAATCAAATCTTCACGAGAGATGCCAGTCCCTTACCCCTGTGTCCATCAGAGATACGTTGCTCCGTGTCCGCCTCCGCCCCTCTCCACCGCGCTCCACCCCTCGCTCACCCTCTCTACCGCTGTACCTTCTCGCCTCTAGCCTCGAAAGCGACGGCGTCCTCCCCTCCCCTGCCACAGCCCTCCCTTGCCCAATGTTCGCCCTGCTTTCAGCCCCCTGGCTGGTCAACGCGGTCAACGGAGTCAACGCACCACCAGACGCAGTGGTACCCGCAGCAGCATTGGGATCGCCAATCCGCTCTGCTGCTTCTTTCACGGCTCTCTCCATTTCTGCTGCTGCTTTTGCAGAAGCCACAGCTGCTGCCAGCCGTCCATCTGAAGGCACAGCCGCCACCAGCCGTCCATCTCTTATCACACCTCCTGCTCCAGCAGAAGCCAAGGAATCCGCAGCAGCGGTGGCGCCTAGGCCTCCCTGTACCAATTCGCTTGCTGCTCCCTTTGCTGCTGATCTCTCTGCTTCTGCTCCCTCCGCTGCTGCTGCTGCTGCTTTTGCAGCTGCCACAGCTGCCGCCAACCGCCCATCTCTAACCGGACCTGCTGCTTCAGCGGAAGCAGTAGAATTGGCAACACCGATTTGTCCTGGTGGGACCTGTGCCGTCGTTTCACTTGCTTTTGCTGTTCTCTCTTCCTCTCCCGATGCTGTTCTCTCTGTCGCTGCTGCTCTCTCAGCCGCTGCTTCCTTCTCAGCTGCTGCCGCCTTAGCCGCAGCCACAGCTGCCGCTAGCCTCCCGTCTCTGATCATACCGAACGCTCGAGCAGACGAGTGTCGCCTGAGCCAGAGAGTCGAATCTAGGGTATAGCACTTCAGTCTCTCATCATACGTGCTCCGCAGACGCAACGTCTGAAATAGCGGTCAGTTTTTTTAAATTCCTGCTCCCCAGTCTTAGATTAGCAAGTTTTAATCTCTAATCGCAATCCCAAATGCTGCTTCAAGTCACCACTTGCTCCCTCCTTTCTTTCTACTCCCAATCCTGACCATTTGCAGCACTAGATATCGTCGTATAAGCAGCAGATATAAGCGAAGGATCTCCGCAATCGCAGAGTGTAACACGGCAGAATAACTTCGGCTGGCAGGAGTGTTGTACTTAGCTAAGCGCCTTAACGAGTCTCTGCGGAAGAACGGGAATGGTGGGGACGAAACCTTGGAATGAGCTGGATGTCCCTTTTTCGCAGCATTCTTACTACGATAAGCACGAATTGAGACCTGATTCAAGCATTGAACAAATTACCGTTATCAAAAGACTTGCCATTGGCAGCATACGTACAAATGCGATATCACTTTATTGACTACGATGCGCCGTCAAGAAACAGGCCAATTCATGAGAGAAAATTGTGTAAATCCCGAGAATCAACAACTAACCTTCCACTGTCGCCAATGCTGATGTTTCGTTGAACGCATCGCAGAAGAACGAACAATGCGGAATATTCTCTAGTGCCTGAGACCCTCGAGCCCCGACCTGAATATCAAAGTCGTTGCACTTCAACAACTAGCATCCGTACCTATTTTCGGTTCTCTCTACTATTCCGCCTAGAGAACAGACTCTGTTTCTGATTCCTGAACTTTCGGGAGGAATCCCATTTCACCTCTATCTGTCAAGTTGACCCACCAGCTCCTGTCTTCATTGAAAATACTGCGAGCATCCCAAGGTTGGGTTTGGGCGTGACGGAGGATAAGGGCGTGTCTGAAGTGAATTTCGACGTTTGCCGACGAAACTTTCGTCGACGTTCCTTGACGAAACTCGACATCCGTTTTCAGCTGTGTTCACTTCAGACACCCACACGACAAAATAACCCACACGTGCCATAGGAACACTATTATAAGTTGCCCATGAAAATTCGACGTGGAATTAACAGAATCATTCATGTAACTCAATTGTTTGCAATCTCGCGAATTTCGCTTAGCATAGATTGTTGCTGGTAACACCGGATATTCTTCTGTCACATTGCCAGCGAAATTTCTCTAGCACGTGTCGCTCTCGTCTTAGTTCTTATTCACGTGTGTTTGCCACAGCTATGCAGACATGGCGTGTCGAAGAATTGTTTTTGAAACACTCACTGACTACAGTGACTCAAACAGCTGCCCGGTATCACTGTTCGACATCCCTCGACATGTGCACGAACGTCGAGTTTCGTCGAGGGATGTCAGGCTGCACTTCAGACACCAACACGCGTGGGTCCCACGGATGAGTTTCGTCGACGAAATTTGACGAAACTCGACGTTTGCACTTCAGACACGCCCTAATGTGTGGACGAAGATATATTCGGACCGAAGTAATTTAATTGTTTATCGTCTATTGACGTTCTGAACCAGTTTGCACCGTTTAATGATGTGCCATGTCATTTGGGTGCACCAACCAGCTGCAAGTACCTCTGACAGATGGATAGCCGTACACGCACGCTTGAGGCACACGAGCGCAGCGGGAAGTGAAGTCGGCGCGGGGAACACTTTTTACCGCGAGCGGCCCCGATTTCCGCTCCGCCTGGGTGAATTTAGGGGGAGTTGGGATGTGTGGATGCGCGTCACACAGTACGGAGTCAGTAGGTGGTGCTATCTGTCTGTTATGAACTGTTGGCCCTCCCGTGTGCTTGCGGAACAAAAGTGTAGGTTTCACTAACGAACACGTACACTGACGCAACCATTCAGATTTAACACAACGGTATGTAATCATCCTAACTCTTTGCTTCACAAGTGCTTCCTCATCCCCAAAGAGACTTGCAATTACACTGTAAATTAGTGGGAGAATCATTAGAGCCCATTTTATGGGGGTGCTACATTTCACCACGTCAATCAAGCATCATGAACCTTGGAAATGGTTAGTGGATGGATGGATGGATGGCATAAGCTGCTGGATTGCCAGCAACCCTCGCAGCAAAAAGAGTGTGCCACCTCAGAACCGAGGCACCCAGGCACCATGAGCAGAAGAAATAAAACCGCAAAGTGCGGTAATACTGGTACCACTCCAGATATATTTCCCAGCCAAGAAAAACACCCACCGCAATTCCTAAACCCGCTTCTTTCCATGTCAGTAAACCCTGAACCCTGGAGGCTCCACAGCATATTGCCCACTTGCACCCATCATCCCACCCCGCATCCCACCACCAGCAGCACCACCGCCGCCACCTCCTCCCCGAGCATCTCCCCCCATCCCTCGACCACTGTCACCATAGTCCTCATAGAACCTGCCGCTACTGGCACCAGCAGCAGCAGCACCGTTGGGGGTATGAGTGTGGGCGGCTGGGTATGTACCTCTTCTGTGTTGGGTATGAGATGAGGAAGGGGGGTGGTAGGAGAACAAAGGAGGGAGTGGCAATGAGGAGTGAGGTGAATGGGGACACGGAGGAGGAGCAATGAGGAGTGAAGGTTGAATGGATAGAATGAGAAAACACACATGCCACACACACAATGCACATGCCACACACACATAACGCATGCTCGTACCTGCCAATATCAGCGAGCTGATGAGGCGAGGCGGGTGGAGAGGCAGACTCGACCACGGAGCCCGAGCGAGAGAGCACTGGCAATTGGGTGGGGGTTGGAAGGGAGGAAAGGGCAGAGCGGGGGGGAAGAGAGTCGGAAGGGGAATGAGAGGGTGAGAACAAGGTGGGTGGAGAGTCAGACTCGACCACGGAGCCTGAGCGAGAGAGCACTGGCGATTTGGGGTTGGAAGAGACAGAAAAAACCGGGTTGAAGGGGGGGAGGGGGGGTGAGGGGGGAGAGGGGGGAACGGGAAAGGAATATCGGAAATAAAGTTGGAGGAAAGGGGAGACGGAGAAGAAGGAGAGGGGTTGAGCGCGGAAGGGGGAGCGGGCAGAAGGGGCAGGTGAAGCGAGAAATGAGTGAAAGGCGGGAATAAGGTGGATCGGACAGTGAGGGGGAAGGAGAAGTGAGAAGAGAACAACAATAGCTAGACAAACACATTTAGGGAAAAAACATGTGCGCACTGCACATTGCGTCCCTAGGGTTAACGCCTCACCTGCTCCTGCAGAGTTGCTTTGACTGGCTGAAACAGACTTGTCCTGGAAGAGAAGGCACGAGGGAGGAGAACAGAGGGTGGGTGGGGGTTGTGAAGGGTTTGGAGGGATTGTGTGGGGTTGGACGATGTACAAGTTCAGGGAGGATGGGAAAGAGAGAGTGTGGTGCTGGAGAGGGGAAGGGGATGGGGAGCGTGAGAGCTGATGGATGCACAGCGGCGCTGATGGATGCACAGCGGCGGTGATGGATGCACAGCGGTGCTGATGGATGCACAGCGGTGCTGATGGATGCATGGTGTTCTTACGGATCGAGTGGATATGGAGCCGATCGCATTTGATGAGTTGGCAGACGCTGAATGGCGGGTCATGCCTGGAATACAGATAGAATGGGACACAGAGCGCATAGGGAGGGAAGGACATAAGGGCATAGGGAGGGAGAGACATTGGGAGGCAGGGGGGGGGGGGGGGGGGGGGGTGAGGGTAAGGAGGGAGAGGAGAGAGCACAAGGAGAGTTATCGAAGGCCATGGCAGAACATGGCATGGCATGGAATGGAATGGATTGGATGGCCCGACATGGGTCAAGGCTTCTCAAGGCGTATCACCTAGTAATTGCATTTGAGGCGAGGCAACAGAACAAGGGAGTGGAGCATAGACAGCCCACCTAGTAATTGGCTTCCGTATCGCTGCAACGAAGCAAGCTTGCTAACCCTTCTTCCTCCCCTCCCCCACCTAGTTGACTTTTGAGTCGACTCAAAAGTCAACTCAGGAATGTAGCCCACCTAGTAATTGGCTTCCGTATCGTTGCAACGAAGCAAGCTTGCTAACCCCTCCTCCTGCCCCACCTCCCCCGCCTCCTCCCGCTCCTCCCCCTCCCTTCGCATCACCAGGCGCGTTATTCCTGCCAATACTCTTCGACCCACCCAGTTTCCTCGAGAAAAAACCTCGCCTTTCCGACTTCCCTCCCCCACCCCCTCCGCCTGCTCCTGTTCCGTCTGTCCCTCCGTCTGCATACCCCCCCGCTGCTCCTCCCTCATCTGCCCGTTCCATAAACCCCTGCTCTTGCTGCTGGTATTGCTGCTGGTACTGCTGCTGCTGATACTGCTGCTGCTGCTGCTGCTGTTGCTGGTACTGCTGTTGAGGAGGGTACTGCCCCTGATATTGCTGCCCCTGATACTGCTGCTGCCCCTGGTAGTGCGCCTGCTGGGATTGCTGGGTAGCCTGAGGGGCTTGTAGCGCCCTCACACCAGACCCTTCTAAGGACGGGTGCACAGGGGAGTGCATGGGCGAGTGGAGGGGAGAACGCAGAGGCGATCGGGGTGGGTTCTGGGAGGTTGAGCGTTGGGGGGAGCGTGGGGGAGGTTGCATCTGGGGGAGGTGCGACTGTAGCTGCAGCTGTGCCTGTAGCTGTGCTTGCAGCTGTGCCTGTGACTGCAGTTGTTGCGACTGTAACTGTGACTGGAACTGAGACTGTGATTGTGATGATTGTGACTGTAGTTGGAGGGGAGACAGTGGTGCTTGCTGCTGGTATGCCCCTGCCCTGCTACCCAGACTACCTCCCTGCTCATAATCCCCCCCTATTCCTTGCCCTCCCGACGCATAGCCCCCTATTCCTTGCCCTCCCGCCATCTGCTGCACTGGCTGCTGCAGCGGCTGCTGCAATTGCCCTCCCGTTTTCTGCCCCTGCTGGTGCCATTTCCGCACCTGCCCGCCCTGCCTCTGGCCCTGCCCTCCCCCCTGCCCTAATCCCACTCCCTGCCCCTGCCCCTGCCCCTGTGCCTGAGGGAGTGGGGCGTGGAGGGGGCTGGGGAGCATGTGAGGGCTCAGTGGTTCGCCGTCCTGCAGAGGGCTCTGCTGTATTCTCGGACTCAGCTGGGTCGTGGGACTCAACAGATGCTGCTGGGGTTGCTGCTGCTGGTACTGCTGCTGCTGCTGCTGCTGCTGCTGCTGCTGCTGCTGCTGCTGCTGCTGCTGCTGCTGCTGCTGCTGCTGCTGCTGCTGCTGCTGCTGCTGCTGCTGCTGCTGCTGCTGCTGCTGCTGCTGCTGCTGCTGCTGCTGCTGCTGCTGCTGCTGCTGCTGCTGCTGCTGCTGCTGCTGCTGCTGCTGCTGCTGCTGCTGCTGCTGCTGCTGCTGCTGCTGCTGCTGCTGCTGCTGCTGCTGCTGAAGTTGCTGCTGCTGTTGCAGTTGCTGTTGCTGTTGCAGTTGCTGCTGCTGTTGCAGTTGCTGCTGCTGCTGCAGTTGCTGCGGCTGTGCCTGGTACAGCTTCGGAACTGGAACCTGCTGCTGCTGCAGCTGCCGCTGCTGCTCTGTCACATACCCCTGCCCTTGCCCTTGACCTTGCCCCTGCCCCAGTCCCGCCCCTGGACCTGCTCCATGCAGGGGAGAGGCAACAGCACGCGGCATAGGCTGCAGGAAGGTTTGCCCTGGGTCGGGGAGACCGAGAGAGCCGGAGAGGGCAGCGTGGGAGGCGGCGGCGAGCTGGGAGGGCGTGGTGATGGGGACGACAGGACCGGTGGTGGCGGCGGAAGAAGAGGAGGATTTGGGCTTCTTGGGCGTGTAGGGGAGCGTCACTCCCTTCTGCTCGGGAGGAGGGGGGGAAGAGAAGAGAAGGGAGAAGAGGGAAGAGAAAGAGGAGAGCGATGAGGGAAACTGAGCAAGGAGGAGAGGGTGCAGAGGAGGAGGATTTGGGCTTCTTGGGCGTGTAGGGGAGCGTCACTCCCTTCTGCTCGGGAGGGGAGGGAAAAGAAGGGAGGAATGGGAGAAGAGGGGAGATGGGAGGAGTGGGAAGAAGGAAACAGAGTGGGAAGGAGAAGGCGTGGAGGAGGATTTGGGCTTCTTGGGTGTGTAGGGGAGCGTCACTCCCTTCTGCTCGGGGGGGGAGGGAAGGGATAGGAGGGGGAAGTGAAAACAGGGTATCAGTGGCGAGCAATGGGCAGGGCAGTCACGCGGCTGACTGCCTGCCTATATCAACCTTCCCCCCCCCCCCCTCCCCCTACTCCTTACCCGTTTTCGTACCCCCTTATAAATCCTACCCGCCCCACACACCCACTGCCTGCCAAAGTTTCTCTCACCAGGAAGAAGGGGTGTTGCAACGCCTTCACACTACATCCTCCCTTGTGAATCCCCACTCACCTCACCTCACGCCCGCACACACCCACTGCCTGCCAAGGTTTCTCTCACCAGGAAGAAGGGGTGTTGCAACGCCTTCACACTACATCCTCCCTTGTGAATCCCCACTCACCTCACCTCACGCCCGCACACACCCACTGCCTGCCAAGGTTTCCCTCACCAGGAAGAAGGGGTGTTGCAGCGCCTGAGCAGCACTGGGGCGTCTGGCGGGGTCCCAGGAGCAAAGAGCAGTGACCAGGTCGACTGCTGCTCTCTATCACACAAAATTCCCCTTCCCCCTCGCCCCACTCCACGATACCCACCACCCAATCCACTGCCTCTCATGCCCTCACCAGGAAGAAGGGATGCTGCAGCGCCTGAGCAGCAGAGGGGCGCCTTGCAGGGTCCCAGGAGCAGAGAGCCGTGACCAAGTCGACCGCCTCATCGGATGCCATAGGCATGATTTGAGAGAGCGGGATGGGCGAGTACTGAGAGGAGAGGAGGGTGGGGGGAGGAGAGGGGGCAGGAGGAAGAGAGGGGGGTGAGTGTTGTGTGTGGGGCGGCTCAGCTGATGTCCCAAGATTAGACTGGAGTGAGCAGTTCAGCTGCCCCGCCTGATGTCATGGGCTTGACTTGAGAGAGCGACTGGTACACTATGGAATGGTATGGAATGGCATGGCATCGCATGGCATGGCATGGCATGGCATGGCACAACATGACATGGCATGGCATGGCTAGTCGAAAGGCAAACACACCTCAGGGAAGCGAAAGTTCATGGAAGCTGCAAGGCGGAGGCCTTGGGGCCATGTTCTGGGGGTAGGCGTGCCGATCACAGCGCAGATCTTGAGAATCTCATCAATCTCACTGGTAGGTGGAAAATGAGGTGGGTGAGAGGGGAGAGGCGGGGGGTAGAAAGGGGGGAGGAGAGGGGAGGGGGGGTGGGGGATTAGTGGTCACTCCAAACAGAGGAGGATTGGTAGGAGTTGGGAAACTTGTGGAAGAGGAGCGGGGAGTCGGGATGGGGGGAGAGGACGAGGGTTGAAGAGTGGGAAGGGGGAGATGGGTTCTGGGAGGGAGATGGGAGGATTGTGCGGTTTGCTGAAAGGGGGGTTCTGGGAGGGAGCACCAAGCATTACCAAGGGGGGTTCTGGGAGGGAGCACCAAGCATTAAAATCTACTGGGAACTAGAGCTGAATCACATGGGTGGTTGCAAGAGCCATTACCTTGCTCCAGGGAATAGCGGCTCGAGTGTGAAGAGCTCTGCCATGATTGCTCCTATCGCCCACATGTCTGCATGCGTGCAGGGGAAGGGGAGGGGAGGACGGGGCCAAGAGGTATCGGGGAGGGGAGGGGCGGGGAAGGGCAGAAAGGGGAGGGGAGCGGGGGAGGAGAGGGGAGGAGAGGGGAGGGGAGGAGAGGGGAGGGGGAGGGGAATGGGAAGGGAGATCAAGCATTACAGATTATTAAGTGGTATGATGAGACTGCCTGCACGTATTCAGGCAGCAAACCCCAAACTATTGGCAATGCAAGCTGACTTTTGAGTCGACTCAAAAGTCAACTGCCTGCACGTATTCAGGCAGCAAACCCCAAACTATTGGCAATGCAAGCTGTTGAAGCAATCTATCAAAGCAATTTACCACAGCAAACCGCACCCTTAGCTACCAAAGCAAGCTACTAAAGCAAGCTGCAGCACACCTATTGGGGCGTTGTAAACTGTTGACTGAAGTAACACCTCCGGTGCTCTATACCTGAGGTGACATGACAGGGAGCACAAAAGGGAAAACGAGAGGGAGTATGGGAGGGAGCATGGGAGGGAGCATGGGAGGGAGCATGGGAGGGAGCATGGGAGGGAGCATGGGAGGAGCATAGGAGGGAGCATGGGAGGGAGCATGGGAGGGAGCATGGGAGGGAGCATGGGAGGGAGCATGGGAGGAGCATAGGAGGGAGCATGGGAGGGAGCATGGGAGGGAGCATGGGAGGGAGCATGGGAGGGAGCATGGGAGGGAGCATGGGAGGGAGCGGGCGGATGGAAGGAAGTGAGGGAGAATGAGGGGATGGAAGGAGGATGGGAGCAGGATGAGAAGAATGAAAGGAAACGCGGAAGGAGAACAAAATACACGCGAAAGATGCAGAAAACAGAGGAGAAGGGGAGGGGGGAACGACAAGGAGGAGGGGGAAGGGGGAAGGGGGCAAGAAGTGGGGGTTGTGGGGGGGAGGGAGGGGGGGAATAGGGTTATCAAAAGAAATACAAAGGTGACGAGACCCATGTGCCCACCCACCCTCACACCACTCACCCACCCTCACACCATTCACCACCCACCTATACACCCGCCCACCCATTCCCACACCACACACCATCGGGTGGAGACATAGTCTGTGAAGGGAGGCCGCGACTTGATCTCCCTTGCCAGGCCAACACTCACCCCCCCAACACCGCCAACCCCACACCACTGAACCCGCAACCCCACACCCTCACACCACCCAACTACCCTCACACCACGCACCCGCCCACCCATTCCCACACCACCCACCATCGCGTGGACACATAGTCTGTGAAGGGAGGCCGCGACTTGATTTCACGTGCCAGGCCAAAATCTGCAACTTTAATCAGGTCCTTGGTCACTAGCAGGTTCTCTGGACACACATGGATGGAAAGGTGAAAGGTATGCACACGGATAGAGGGGAGGGAGACAGGCACACATGGGAAGGGAGGGCGAGACTTGATTGCGAGGCCGAAATCAGCCACCTTATCAGGTCCTTGGTCACTAGCAGGTTCTCTGGATACACAGTGATGGAAAGGTGACAGGTATGCACACGGATAGAGGGGAGGGAGACAGGCACACATGGGAAGGGAGGGCGAGACTTGATTGCGAGGCCGAAATCAGCCACCTTATCAGGTCCTTGGTCACTAGCAGGTTCTCTGGATACACAGTGATGGAAAGGTGACAGGTATGCACACGGATAGAGGGGAGGGAGACAGGCACACATGGGAAGGGAGGGCGAGACTTGATTGCGAGGCCGAAATCAGCCACCTTATCAGGTCCTTGGTCACTAGCAGGTTCTCTGGATACACAGTGATGGAAAGGTGACAGGTATGCACACGGATAGAGGGGAGGGAGACAGGCACACATGGGAAGGGAGGGCGAGACTTGATTGCGAGGCCGAAATCAGCCACCTTATCAGGTCCTTGGTCACTAGCAGGTTCTCTGGATACACAGTGATGGAAAGGTGACAGGTATGCACACGGATAGAGGGGAGGGAGACAGGCACACATGGGAAGGGAGGGCGAGACATGATTGCGAGGCCGAAATCCGCCACTTTAATCAGGTCCTTGGTCACTAGTAGGTTCTCTCGATACACACATGGGATGGAGGGGAAAGAGACGGGCACACACACACATGGATGGGCGGCGGACAGCACACATGGGATGGGAGGGAACACAATTTGTGAACGGAGGGGGAGACTCAATCTCCGTTGCCAGGCCGAAATCAGCGACTTATACCTTTAATGAGATCCTTGGTCACTAGCTGGTTCTTTGGACGCGTGGGCGACAGGCGTATAACATGAGGGCAGCAAGGAATGGCATTCTGACTCGCTTCTCTCAAGCAACCTTGATCGCCCTTGGTTACCAAACCCTCACCCACCTGCTGCCACCCAACTGCCTCCACCCACCTGCCTTTCCCCCATAACCTGCCTCAACCCCCCTTAGTGCGTTGACTCTCCCACCTACCTGGCTTGAGGTTGCAGTGGATGAAGCCGTGCTTGGGCCTGTGCGCCAGCAGCGGCTGGGGAGGAGAGTGAGGGAGGAGATGCACCCTCACCCACCTGCCTCCACCCACCTGCTTGAACCCCCCACCTGCCTCAACCCCCCTTAGTGCGTTGACTCTCCCACCTACCTGGCTTGAGGTTGCAGTGGATGAAGCCGTGCTTGGGCCTGTGCGCCAGCAGCGGCTGGGGAGGAGAGTGAGGGAGGAGATGCACCCTCACCCACCTGCCTCCACCCACCTGCTTGAACCCCCCACCTGCCTCAACCCCCTCCAACCCCTTTCAACCCCCCACCTGGCTTGAGGTCGCGGTGGAAGTAGCCGTGCTTGTGCATGTGCGCCAGGCCCAGCAGCACCTGGTGAGGAGAGGGGAGGGGGGAGAGTGAGGGGGGAGGAAGAGGCAGAATGTAAGCGAGTCAGTCTGCATGCAGCCAACTCAACTCAGTAGTGCTTGTGAGAGTACCCAAGTTGACTTACAAGTCAACTCAGAAGTCAACAAGTCGTGTTTTGAGTCGACTCAAAACACGAGTCGACTCAAAACAAGTCAGTCTGCATGCAGCCAACTCAACTCAGTAGTGCTTGTGAGAGTACCCAAGTTGACTTACAAGTCAACTCAGAAGTCAACAAGCCCGGCCCGTCTTACCTGGTACATCCAGTTTCGAACGGTGGACTCTTGAAAGTAGGTCTCTCTGTCCTTCATGAGATGGTACAGGTTGCACTCCTGCATTCACAGGCACACGTAGTGAGAAAGGGAGAGAGAGGACATGGGAGGAGAGAGGAGAGGAGGAAAGGAGTTGTGAGGCACTGTGCTCAGAGGACAGTGGGTTGAAAGTAGGTCTCTCTGTCCTTCATGAGATGGTACAGGTTGCACTCCTGCCCTAGCACACGCACACAGACAAACAGATAGAGGGAAAGAAAGTGGATATGGAAGAAGAGAGAAGGAGGGAGGGAAGCTGTTTGGAGTGCTGCGAGTGCTTCAAACCCACTCGGGCCCACTCCTTCCACTCCTCATTCATTCATCCCCCACCTCCCCCTCTTTCCCCCCCAGACCCCTCACCATGAATTCGAATATGAAGAACAGCTCGTTGTTTTCTCGAATCACCTCCTTCAGCCGCACATGTTGGGGTGGTTCGCCTTGTGAGTGCTTCCGGCCCGCTCCTTCCACTCCTCATGCATTCCTCCCCCCATCCTCCTCCAGCCATACCCTTCCCCACCCCCTCCCACGGCTCACCATGAATTCGAATATGAAGAACAGCTCGTTGTTCTCCCGAATCACCTCCTTCAGCCGCACTATGTTGGGGTGGTTCAGCTTGCGCAGCGACTGAAAGGGGGAGAGGGGGGGGAGGGAGGAGGGGGAGGGGGAGGGGGTGAAGAGCAGAAGAGAGGGAGAGAGAAGGGGCATATTGGTCTCCTTCAGCCGCACTATGTTGGGGTGTGGTTCAGCTTGCGCAGCGACTGGTGTGGTGGGGGGAAAGAGTGGGGGGCAGGGGGGGAGGGTAAGAGGGGGTAAGGAGGAATAACGACCCCTGCGCAGAGACTAACATAGGAGTGCTCACTCGTTATTGAGTGAGTGGTTGGATCACCTCCTGCGCAGAGACTGGTGGTGATGGGGGAAGTGGGGGGTTGGGGGTAAAGGGGAGAAGGAGGAGAGAGGGGAGAGGGGAGAAGGGGCCTTCCCCCACTACTTACCTGTCCCTCCTTCCCCCACTTGCCCGACTTCTTCCATCCCCCCATCTTTCCGCCTGTTCCCTCCTGCCTACCTTGACCCCAGGCCAACGCACTCGTTCTCTTCTTCCCCAATCCTCCCCCACTCTTTTCCCCTCCTCCTACCCCATTCCTTCCGCTCCTGCCCCCTTCCCTTCCTACCCACCTTGACCTCTCGCAGGCTCATGCACTCGTCCCACGAGTAGAACTTGCGCTTCATCTTCTTCACCGCCACCTGGTGATGAAGGGGGGGAGAAAGAGGGGGAGGGGAAGGTGAGGGAGATGATATGAGGGGGTCAGACATGACATGATATGAAATGGGGTAAGCGGGGTGTAAGATGACGTCCACGCGTCTCGCAGGCTCATGAACACTTCCCGTATGTACTCAACAATCATAGCACTGTACACTCACAATCTCGGTTCTCGTCTACACTCACAATCTCGGTTCTCGTCTACACTCACAATCTCGGTTCTCGTCTACACTCACAGTCTCGGTTCTCGTCTACACTCACAGTCTCGGTTCTCATCTACACTCACAATTTCGTTCGTGTGCAGGTTAAGCGCTTTCCACACGGTCCCGTAAGTGCCGTCCCCCAGCTGCTTCATCACCTTGTACCTGCGCGCGGGAAGGGGGCGAATCACAAGGTATGGGAGTATATAAACTCATTTTCTATCTCGAGAAACGCACTACAGCTTCCAGCTGCTTCATCACCTTGTACCTGCGGGGGGGACGGGGGACGGGGGACGGGGAAGGGGAAGGGGGAAGAGGCGTGGTGTGCTGAATACGACAAGAGATGGGTTGAGAGCCTTCCACACAGTCCCGTAAGTTCCGTCCCCCGAGTTGCTTCATTACCTTTTACCTGCGTGAATACAAGGCACGAGGAACATGTATGTACACGCATATAACATTTTTTCAGGATAAAAAAACACTGTACTGTAACAGGTACAGTGCACCGTACACCACAACACTCCGTCACCCAACGAACGAACGCGTCCAACAGCAGTTGACGCAGATGGAGCTAGCGCTTCGACGAGTACTCGACGACTGGAGTGCGTTTTGGGACGCTTTCTAAGACGTGTTTATAGGCGCTGTTTAGACGTGCTTTGAGACGTCTCATAACACATAGAGACGCTTTGAGACGTGTTTTAAAGCGCTGTTAAGTGACGCGATGCGAGCTCTACGACAAGCACGCGACGTGGAGGACGCCGCGTCGCGAGCAGGACACGCATGCGCAGAGAAGGCGATGCGTTCGAACCGCAGCAACCCGCGCGATTCCAACCCGTCGATTTCCCTTGGGATCGATAAGCGATCAGCTTGTAAGGGAGCCGAGAATTGTTTTCGTCCTTTTATTAAGGAGCCCTAAGAAAGAGTTGTGGCGAGTTGGGAAGGCGTCGTAAACGAGCTTGCAAGGGGAGCCGCGGGGGAAGCAACTTGTGAGGCTCCCCTTACAAGCTCGTCTCCTCAAAAGCCGCGGCTCCCCTTACAAGCTCGTGCGGAGGAAGCAGCGTCGCGTATGAATAATAACTAATCGCGTTTTCTCGAGAGTTGCGCTAGATAGCAGTGCTCATGGTACTCTTCACTTCCATTGTCTCCGCCTACCCTTACCGTCTCCGTCCACCCTTACCGTCTCCGTCCATCCTTACCGTCTCCGTCTACCCTTACCGTCTCCGTCCACCCTTACCGTCTCCGTCCACCCTTACCGTCTCCGTCCACCCTTACCGTCTCCGTCCACCCTTACCGTCTCCGTCCACCCTTACCGTCTCCGTCCACCCTTACCGTCTCCGTCCACCCTTACCGTCTCCGTCCACCCTTACCGTCTCCGTCCACCCTTACCGTCTCCGTGCACCCTAACCTTCTCCGTCCACCGTAACCGTCCCCGTCCATCGCCTCTGTCCATCCCTGCCGTCTCCGTCCACCCTTCCCGCCTCCGTCCACCCTAACGCTCTCCGTCCACCCTAACCGTATCCGTTCCCCCTTCCGTCTCCGTCCACCATTTCCTTCCCCGTCCACCCTAACCGTCTCCGTCCATTCCTGCCGTCTCCGTCCATCCCAACTGTTTCCGTCCAACCCTGCCGTCTCCGTCCGTCCACCCTAACCGTCTCCGTCCACCCTTCCAGTCTCCATCCGCCCTAACAGTCTCCCTCCACCCTAACCTTCTCCATCCCTACTTGGCGCAGCGCAATGAGACAATCCGCGCAAAGTAATCATCCAACCCTATCCTCTAATCACGGTGACTTTTGAGTCGACTCAAAAGTCACATCATTCACCCCTGCCTGGCGCAAACCTCGTAGTCTACCGCTCGTCCACGTGTCCTACAGCCCCTCCACGTGTCCCTATCCGAACTGCAGGAACGATATACGATAAGACGTCTCTTAACTCTGCAGTTCCTCCACGTGTCGCTATCTACCCCGTCCACGTGTTCGTGGAATTGCTGAGAAGCCTTATTACGTGTCTCAACTGACGTACACGTGTCCTACAGCCCCTCCACGTGTCCCTATCCGAACTGCAGGAACGATATACGATAAGACGTCTCTTAATCTGCAGTTCCTCCACGTGTCGCTATCTACCCCGTCCACGTGTTCGTGGAATTGCTGAGAAGCCTAAACCCTCCAATCACCACAGAGTGCAACGAAACAGGCAGATCTGACAGAGAGAGCACGCGCGGAAACGGAAAGAGAATAAGGGAATAAAGCCGGTAAGCCACGTACCTGTTCATGGCGCCTCGTAAAGGCCGTTCTTTTAGGAGCAGATCTTCTGACGCGCTTTGAGGAGTAGAATAGGTGGAGATTGTGAGATCAGGCAAGAGGAAGACCAGGAGATTCGGGAATGGCCGCAGCCGGGCAATGAGCGTATATGAACCGACACTGCCGCTGCTGGGATATTATTTCCTGCTAGAGGAATGGCGGGAACTGTACAGGCAAGTCTCCGTTTGGAAAGGGATTTCACGACTCGTAACTGGCGGCTGGTCGACCTAATTTTGAGTCAACCCAAAAATCTGAGCTAGGGTTAGATACGAAGCCTCGTCGTTAGTAACCTTCGGTGGGCAATGTTAGTGGAGATTCTCTAGTAACAGGACGGACAAGACTAATATCGAAGCTAAGGGTCTAAGCTAGTGATGATATACAGGCGTGCTTGAAACGGGAGGGACTTGATATGTACAGCAGATGTTAGAGGTGCGTAGGAGCTATAGCTTGCTTCGAGATTGAAATGACATACTAGGCCTGTTGGAAGTATCGTTTCTAATGCTGCAAGTGAAACGGCGAGATGGCGGCAGCTGCCTTCCCACACCGGAACAGCTACGCGAAGTATAAGGGTCAAAAAGGATCAGAGAACATAGGGAGTGCCGAGCGGACCAAGTATGACACGAGAGAAAGGAGGGGCGCTTGCGCGACTGTATCGGGAACTTAGGTGCTGCTAGGAAGTCTCTAGGTTGCCAGGTTAGGTTAGGTTGGTTGGGGGAAGCGGAAGGAAGGTCGGCGCAGCTTTCGGCTGTACGCGCAGCAGGCGACGTGCGCGCAAGCGCAGAGGGCAGTGGGCTGGAGGCGGAGGTGGGGCGGAGCGGAATCACTGTAGTGTACTGCGTCGGGGGCTGGTTCAGCTTCGTTCCGATGTGGTGATGTGACGGTTTGATGTGGTTTGATTCTCACTGAGGTGAGGTGACCAACAGGTTCGACAGAATACGCTGGTGCGGTTCCCTTCGCAACGCCTTGCGTCCCGTCAAACCAGGCCCCGCAGTCATTGAAGGTCGTGAACACAAGTTTTTGCTAAAAATCCCTTGCTACTCCCAACTGAATGCAAAATTCTCCCAGGATTTCGTTAGCCCGAGCAGGTTTTACATAACAAACACTATCACCCTGACCGCTTGAAATTCCGGACGCAACCCAAGCCACTGGTTGTTTGTGCTTGGGTGAGCAAGGTTCTTGCAGTACCAGTGCCGCCAAGCCACGTTTGGTGTATTTGCAGGCTCGGAATCAAGTTCGTCTAATCAAACCACTTGTGGGTGCTTGTAGCTTTAGGCTGGGCGGTTTCGTGGCATAGAGGTTATGTTTGCGAAGTTTATATATATTTGGGGGGGATACAATTGTGTAAATACACCTGGGACAGTGATATGCTGACGACCACTGGGTGTGACAGGGTCTCGGATGTCACGGTCTAGGCTACTCAGATTGGAGCGGGAAAGCAGGGTAGCGGAAGAAATATGAATAGAAAGTAGAACAAACCAAGCACCAATACAGAACCAAGGGATACATTTCACCCAGCATACACCCTTTAGAACAAACGTTTAGGGAAACCAGATGGCCTCCGGGAACGCAATAGTCCCCCTCCCACGTGAGCCACTGTAAGGCTGGGAATCATGTACTGTAGATACGGCTGATTGTCGTTGGCGAAGGGTCCTGAATGTGGCAATAAATTGCCAGACAGTTGCCGGATGAATCCAACGGTCGAACAGTTCACCTGCCGTACACCACCATAGCTACGCAACACAAGACCCAAACCCAACCATCAATCATTTGTGTCGCTCCTATACGCTTCATCTACTGAAGTATTGTAAGGAATTTTATTGACATTCCTTAGCGCAGCCCGCAACATCGCGTACAGCAACAGCCGTTGTTCGCCCGTTACTGCTAACGGGGCTTCGCCAACTTCGCGCGCACCGTTTTCACCAAACCTCGCACTGCTGGAGCAGCCGAGTCGGCCTACGCTTCAGGACTAGCCCGAACCTCGCGCCAGCGTAGCACTAGCTAGCTCGCACGCGCCGCGTTACCGTTTGCATGTTTCGCGTATAAATGTTCGCTCATGCCTTCGCTCACATTTTGTACTCGTTTTGCCACCTTAGTGCAATCCTCGCTACTTCGATCCATTGCACCCGTAACACTTGGTATTCAGAGCCTCTTTCTTTTCGGACCGCGCATCTCCGCACCCCAGGAAATCAACTTTTGTTTTTTCACTCGAAGGGACTCACGCACCTTAGCCCCTAGGAGCCGCTGTCCTCGCGTTCTCTCGTAAACGCGTGCAGCCACGACTGCGCCTAGAGCTAAGACGAGCCGACGCCCTTCGGAATGGCCGAACATATCGACGTCACCACCCTCACGCAGGACCGTCTGAACGAGCTGCTGCAGCAACTTCGCGAAAGCTCTGAAGAAATCGCGGCGCTGACGGCAGAACGCACGTCCCTGCAAAATGACGTCGCACGAGCACAATCTCAAGCACCTGGCACTCCGATACAGCCCGCACCATAGACATCGCAACATGGGAGTGTGGGGCAACCCGCGAGCGCGGCCAGTGATGGCGTCGTCCGCCACGACGGAGACGACGACCACGGCACGACACACCCCGAAGCGACGAATGCGGCCAGAAGTCAACCTCGCGTCACGATTTATGTGCCGGCCGGCGACTCAGCACTACCGTCGCCGATGCCGCTGAAACCGCAGCGTCCGCCATGCTTTGACCCGAGTCAACGGGGTGGTCCTACCGTTAAGGCGTGGTTGTTCACGTTGAACGTTTTCTTCGACGCCAACTACGTCTCGGAGGATACGGCGAAAATCCGCTACGCCGTGTCGTTGCTGCGAGGACCCGCCATGGACTGGTGGCGTGTCATCGTCACGAAGCCGGTGGACTACGCGACTCTACCGACACGGGAAGGACACACCGGACCCTGGGCGCCGTCGTATTTCGTGGAGGTGCCCCAATATCGCACGTGGGACGCGTGGTGCGCAGGTCTGCGCGCTCGGTTTGAGCCAATCGCGGCTTCGATCGCGGCGCGACAGAAGCTCCGCACTTGGCGCCAACTCGGTTCCGTCCAGGACTACACGAGCGGGTTTCTGGTGCTATGCGAGCAAGTAGGTTATATGCACGAGAGCGAGCGCATCGACCGCTACATCGGCGGCCTGAAGCACGACATCGCTCAGGAAATCCAGCTTCGCGGCGTCACCGATTTCCAGGAGATTCTCGCCATGGCGGAGAAACTCGACTTCTTCCGCCGACCGAGACCGGGGTCCTACGGAAGCAACAACTGGGGACATCGGTCTCGTGGGACGAACGAGGGCGCTACGATACGTGCCGTCGCCGCGAATGCCGCTGCCGCACCGTTCAAAGGGCGCTGCTTCGCATGTAATCGGCCGGGACACCGTAAGAGCGAATGCCCGGAAAACGCTAAGGGAAAGGGGGAAGCTGAGCAGCAGAAACAGACCAAGCAGCAGGGAAACGCTGGGAGTCAGTAGCAGACAGGCCCTCTACTGACAGGTCACGCCGCTCGCCCGACCCAACCGACCCTCACCGAGTGATTGTGCCGGTTCACGCAATCGACCACACCCGGCCGAATAAGGAGGGTACTACGGTAGACAACCCCATACTGCTTAGTGGGAAAATCGGGATAGACTTAGTTAAAATCTTAAAATCTTCGTAGACCGGGGAGCCAGCCACAGCCTCATCAACACTGCCACAGCACGGAAACTGAAACTGCCACTGGACAGATGCTTACCTGAGATCGATGCAAGACTGGTTGACGGCACGCCACTGGCGATACGGGAACGCGTAGACCGGGTTCGGATTCGATGCGGGGGTAACTTCACGTTTAGCCAGGAAATGCTCGCGACAACCCTCGACGGATCCGACATTTTACTCGGTCGTGATTGGCTGCGACGACACAATCCGCGAATCGACTGGACGACGGGTGACTGCACTATGCGAGTGAATGGTAACAACATCGCTTTACCTCGCTGGGGCTCGCCTGAGTCTTCGTCGATGCGTGTCAACGCGATCACAATGAAGCGCGCCGTAGCGGCAGGAGCTGACGTGTACGCGGTTGACATTCGGGAAGCCGAGGCAGCAGACAAAGGGGGGGATTTACAGAAACTGCTAGCCGACGTACCGGATGACCTGACAGCACTCCTGAAGCAGTACAGTGACATATTTCCGGACGATCTGCCGACGGGACTGCCACCTCAGCGACCGCACGACCACAGGATAGAACTAGAACCGGGAGCACAGCTGACAGTACAGCGACAGTTCCGACTGACCCAACCCGAACTGGACGAACTGAGGAAGTAGCTGGATTACCTGCTCGAGAAAGACTTCATTCGTCCGAGTTCGTTACCCTTCGCAGCACCGATACTGTTCACGCCGAAAAGGGACGGGGGTTTTCGCATGTGCATAGGTTACAGAGCACTGAACAGGGTTACCATTAAGTCCTGTTACCCCATCCCACGAGCCGACGAACTGATCGACCAACTGCGCACAGCCCGGGTTTTCTCGAAAATCGACCTTAGAGGAGGTTACCACCAGATTCGCGTCAACCCTCCCGACTGCCCCAAGACAGCTTTCTGAACACGCTACGGATCCTTCGAATACACCGTCATGCCTTTTGGATTGACCAACGCCCCCGCCACTTTTCAAATGACCATGAACGAAGCCTTCCGCCCGCTTTTAGATAAGTGCGTCATCGTGTACCTTGACGACATACTGATTTACAGCCCCGACAGAGCACGGCACTTTCAGGACATCGAAGCAGTTTTTGACATACTGAGTGAGTTTTTACAGGACCGCCTGGAGTTTTTGGGACACATTATTTCAGCTGAAGGAGTGGAAATAGACCCGAAGAAGATCGCGACGATTCAAGCATGGCACGCGCCGACAAACTTGACCGAGTTGCAGAGTTTTCTAGGGTTCGTCAACTACGTGCGCCGGTTCGTCCCCGACATGGCGAAGTTGACCGAC